GGGGAGTCAAGTGCCGTCAAGACATTACACAAACCGAAACAATCATGACATATATTTATACTCACCGTTTGGCCAAATATTCTGTATTTCATATCGAGAAATAAATTTATTTTGAATTTTTCAAGATATTGGGTTTTACTTGCACGCGCATGCATTGCGCAATACTTGGCCATTGAGGAGCTCCTTTAGCAGGGATGACGTCAAACTCACGGGTATAGGTGCACTTTGACCTATAGAATCTATTTCCTGCATTTGCAAAGTCAGTGCAGGTTGGACAGCAGACTGCAAATTATCATGGGTAATGAGTGCCTGATTCCACGTGCGGCCTCATTAATGCGTTGACTGCCGTGAAGTAAACATCGATCTGGCCAAAACAAGATGGGCACGTTTGAAAGACGAAAATGTCAGGATGCGACACTTTTTCTGATTGCACAGTATTTCAGGAGACTCCTAAGACAACCTTGATGGATCAGGTGGAAATTATTCAGATGACGAACATTGGTTCTCAGATAAATATGAAGGTATTGTGTGTGATACAGTATTTCTTTTGTGTTACAGTGAATATTATTAAACTTCTTGCTAAAGTATAATTACTCGCTGGGGCACCTGTGTCCAGCGAATATAGGTTTGGGCATGCATTTGACACGGATAGTGGATCTCCAATCGTCGATAACCACAAAATAAAATATTAACTAGAAGTTACTGTCGCAAAGAAAGTGTTGCCTCACTCGCCAATAGATGAAAGGCAGCATGCACAATTTGCCGAATAAGGGGCTGTGTATATCATCCTGCTTTGCCAGTACAAGATGCGAGGTAGAATTATTTTGATGTATTGAAATAAGTTACAGTGCACGTTTCAGCAAAAAACCACATTATTTTCTAGAGATAGACTATAGTTAACTGTAAACGAAAGATTGTTCAAACAGCAACACTGTAATCTTCTTGAACCACAAGATCTTCTCTAGGGCGCAGGCCCAAGGAGGCCAAGGCCCCACAAGTCCTCGGAAGATACAAAAAGTGCCCTTGGATGTTCGGTCCAACCGTGGATGTTCGGTTTCACGTTTGAAATAACACTCAAAGTCAAAGGTGGCACGGTAAGGGAAGTACTTTAGATCGTGAGGGATCTCGATTTCCTCGTCGGCCAACAAATCGAAGATGGTTTGTGGAAGTTTGTAGGCACCACCAGGGAAGATGTGACGTATAGTTGCTTCGCATGTTCGCTCGTGTCGGTTTAAGGCTGTCGCTGTCTTCCACATTTTGTCACACTTAGAACAACAGTAGGATTTGGAGTACATCGACAAGTTCTTAATATAGCTGAAGTGACTACCGTAGAGATTCAGGTACATAGTGTTGGCATATCTACGGTGGGATCGCTGTATGAGTTGAGCCGCAATGGAGGTCGTGTCGTCATCTTCGTCATGTAGCTCTGTAAGGCGATACACGTAAGTGTTCAACTCGAATAACTTTTCCAACTCTGAGAGCTCTTCGAGTGTCACACCGTCAAAATCATCATCCTCCGAATATTTTTCATAAAAATGTTGAGTATCACGTTCTAGGTTATGGGGATGACAACCACGGTGTAGGGCCAAACAACGGAAGAAACAAAGTTTGTCTTCGTATGGTAAGCCTGTATTATCATCACAATCCAACGACACGATGGCACGGCTCTCCAGTACGTATTTAGGTAGCCGGACACTGCGGCCTATGGGATGGTCTTGAAGTTTGGTGACGTAGAAGGTAATGTTGGTAATATCCATGACAATCCATTTGGAATTAGGTCGTTGTTTTCGAGCCCATTCATGAATGTCGATGCTTTGTATCGTTTCGCGAACTTGGGCTAAATCTTCACGATTATTGATCTGGAACGGGGAGTCGAGGACACGGCTGTTGTTGGCAGATGAGTGGTGATATTGCATCTGTTGTGTCTCGTTATTAAACAATACGAAACCAAAGGAGAGATTTAACTTAAAGACGGTGGTTCGATCTTCGAATATGTGCCGTATGCTGTTGACAAGTTGACCCATATTTACTGAGCTTAGACGATAGTTGTACCAATCCTGAATCCGATTGCCTCGGCTTTGTCGCGTACGTATTATTATTATTATTATTATTATTATTATTATTATTATTATTATTATTATTATTATTATTATTATTATTATTATTATTATTATTATTATTATTATTATTATTATTATTATTATTATTATTATTTTATTATTATTATTATTATTATTATTTAAAAATATTTTAAAACGGTAGCTCTTCAGGGCTCGTAGGCACCTGTTTTTCAAGAGGCCGTTTATTACAGTATTTACAAGCTATATAAATATAATAACACAAATATACACACAAAAACAGAGAAAACGTAACGAAATTAATAATTGCATGCACTACATTTGTATCTAAAAATATCCTATCCTATTTAAATATTTACAAAGTTACCAAAAGGAATCAACTGCCGTCAAGAATACGTTAAAATTTGTTAAGGCTAATGCCTTTTTCTTTTGCTGTAGTTAATAAGTCATTCCAAAGGGATGCAGCTGAATAACTGAAGCTCTTTTTGATAAAATTTGTTTCAGGTTTTCCAAGATCATAGTTGTTATTGTTACTTCTTAAATCATATCTGTCATTTATTTTAATTTTGAACATGTTGCAAATTGATGATGGCATTTTTTCGTTTCGTATTCTGTGCATAAAAATCGATTTATTGGTTTTATATCGTTGGTTTAAAGGTTGCCAGTCTAATTCTTTTAAAACATCCTCAGAACTAACTTCATAAGTTTTACCAGTGATGATTCGGGCCGCTCTGTTTTGTAATTTCTGAAGTCTGGTTTTAAGTAATCACAACAGTTATCCCAAACCAAGCTACAATAATCAAAATGTGATAGCACAATGGCATTATATATTTTTACTAAGGTTGATTTGGGAACAAACTGTTTTATTCGTCGCATCATTCCTATTCCTTTTGAAGCTTTTGTGACAATATTCGTCAATGATCACGGTGGAGTTGGGAAGGAAGGTTAGATGGGGTAATAGGGGATCTTGAAGGAACGGTTGAGGTCCTATAGAAAAAAATTATAACACCCGATTCTTTATTTTTGTCTAGAGCTTCGCACTAATTTTATCATACAAACACCCGATTCATAAAAAATCGACATAAGTCTAACATGAATAAATTAGGAACATGCAGATTTCAAATAGCAACACGATAAACCCACGCTATAAAAATTACTCGATTATTTTTACATCGCTATAAAACGCTAGCGAAAGTTACAAGAATTATGTCGCGTAAATGCTCGTAACAGTCGTACAATGACATAAATTAATAGTTCTAAATCAAATGAACATAACTCATAAATCTAACATGAATAAATTAGGAACATGCAAATTTCACATAGAAACATGATAAACACACGCCTAAAAATTACTCGATTATTTTTACTTGCCTATATAAACGCTAGCGAATGTTACCCACAATCAAATAAATTTAAATATACTATATTTGGTATAAAAAAAATGAATTTCGTACCTTCGTTGACACAGTAGACGTGGAAACTCCTGAAAAGGAGAAAAACGTATTAGTGTGATTTTAATTCAAATTATTAACACAGCATATACTCTCTTACCTTCGTTCACCGATGTCGAAAGTCTTGGCAGTTCTTAAAAGGGAAAAATGCCTGTTTAAATACAAAGTTAGTAATCAAAATATTTTCATTTAAACATACCCGGTTCATCAGTTCTTTGCCTTTTTGCTGGCCGAGTTGACGTCTTCGTACGTTTCCCACCGCCAACTTGGTGGACTTCGCGCTGATGGGCTTGAAATGGAAATATATTTCGGAACACCTCACCGCAAATATTGCAGGTGTATTCCCTTTGGGCTCATCGTTGTTCGTGCATTCTCATATGCCGGTACAAAGCATCCTTGAAATAATATAAGTAGA